CATGAAAGAGGCAAATGAAACAAAAATGCTATACTTGAACTAAGGGCGAGAGGGAAAACATAGCCCTCTGAATATTAGTTACCTACTAATGTAAAGTTTCAGATTACAGTACTAAGAATCTGTAGCTACAAACACTGTGATTGGCAAGGGCTAGTAGCCAAAACTGTTACTAGGGATGCTGTGAAAGTACACAAGACTTGGCTAGGACTATCTCCACAAGTTATTTGGTATTTTCCGGAGCAGGCACACTAGGTACAGGGTCACAGGGTTTCTCTCTGAATTACTGTAATGAAAGGTGTGTAGAGTCAATACAAGCCCCACGCAGCAGTCAAAGAAATGGTGGCAACAAAATACACAGTCTTACTTGTCTGGGTTGAAGGCGAGGCTTGGAGGGATTAAAGGTCCGAGTGAGGCTAAACCAGTTTGTGTACACTCACTGTGAGGTGTTGGGCAGGGAGGCAGGCAGGTGAATAGCACCGAGTATAGAAAGCAGACCAGTGACGGGAAGTAGAAAGGTTATTGACAGCAAGATCCAATCCACTGTGAAGCTGCAAAGGCAAGTAGACAGGGTTAGCATGACAAAAACAGCAAATGGGGGTTTACAGAGCAATGACTCTCACTAACGTGGGTTAGCTGCCATTCCAGCAAGAAATGTTTGAGAACGCTGGTCTTAAGAGCCTCCCAGCAAATTACACACAGGTGCCACAAACGAGGGGTGTTGTGACTCTGCCCAGTGATGGATTTACTGACACGCAGGAAAACACAGCACTCACCCAGACCATGACACTTTCCTTTAAACTTCATTCTGTGTTATCTAGCTTGTTACCACAAGTGTGATGTGATCAAAACCTACCTTATATTTTCTTTCTTCTCTGGTCTGCTTCAGGTGTATTGATCAACAGTATGCTCCCACCTCCATCTTCCTCAAGAAAGTGAAAACCACTACTGAGATCAACATGCTAGCTACAGGAAGCGTGTATCTGCTGCTTGTCTCACTTCTGTCTTTTTTGTTTCATTGTGAACATTCACTTGCTTTTTCTCTAAAAAACTGCACAATCCTCTATTCTGAAAATTCAAACAACGTGTCAGTTACATGTGCAGAGCGTCACCTCACTGCTATTCCAGATGACATTCCTGGTAATGCAGTATCGCTCAATCTCAGCT